CCACCCGCGGCGCCGCGATACGCATGCACACTTTTTCAACGGGATATTGCTCGAGAACCGGGCCGAGTGTGGTTTGCGCGTCGTCGACGCGCGGCCGAGCGAGTATTCGTCTACCACGCCGATACGAGTAGCCTTGTCAAAGAAAAAAGACAAATGAAGAAAAAGAGAAGCTGGCGTTGAAAAACGTCGAGGCCCGCGTCGACCGAGATTATTGCTCGCGGGCAAGAGAGCACGTTAAATGTATTGGCAGGAACGAGAATATCGCGCGCGTATCCTCTCAACTGGCTTTCGATTGAGTATATCGTTTGCGTTCGCGGCCAAGGGAGAATCGAACTTTCCGCCTTGCCGCGGCGCTCCGTTCGCGTTCTCTTCTGCCCTCGGCCTCGGGAATCCGTCGAGATACGCGCGAGTCCGCGACCGCGACCAGTTTCTTTGGGCCTGTGCCGGTCATCGCACGCGAAGCGCGCGATATCCATATGTAAGCGTAGGGCTGCTCTTACATGGGAGCGGAAAGCGGAGAGAGCGGACAAAAAGAGAAAGTTTTGTCCGCTGCGTCCCTAGCCGGCGTCTTGCGTGGTGCATCCCTCTTCCCCCTCTCCTCTTATTTCTAGCGTCCCTTTCTGTAATTATAATTTTCTCGACAATATTAATTTATATGTCGTACATATATGTGTATAGATATGTATATATTTGTATATATATGTAATATGACAGACATTTTAAATGATAGCTTCTCTTTTTATTATTTTATACATGCTGTAATTAGAATTTTTTCGATAATATTAATTTATATGTTATATATACATATATACGCATATATAACATGTATATACATTAGGCCTGTTCAGAAAAGTGAGGTTTTTTATTTTTATGGCTCCAGTCAATTAAATCGGTAGCTAGTCACATTACGCATAGTCCTGAATTTTTAAACAAACTTAAGTGCTCCCAATTACAACTTTTCGTTCTTATGGGAAAATGCACGTAAAAATGACAACGTCATTTTCAGTACACATTTTTACATTTAAATAATCTATTTTAGTTTAATCTTAAATTTTATTTCTTTTTAGTTTCCAAAATCCTATTATTCATGATGTTTTAACACTTAAATTTAGATAATATGTATTAAATCAATGCATGACAACAATCATACTTTGTCGGTTTCTCAGAGCCTTTCTAATCATCAGAGTTTATTGCAATTTGCACTTTAATATAGCTTTATTCTATAACAATAGATTATGTCAATAGCATTTCAGTCAATACATTATATCATTGTCAAATTGATGAAAATATAGTGAAAATTTCTGTGAAATTTGAACGAAAATAATTCCATTAGCCTAGAGATTACAAGTTAACTCAAAACATATGTACCGCAGCTGCGCGTCTCGCTACCGACGCCGACTACGCAGGTAGCCGGGCGGATCCTCGGATGGCTAATCCTTTTTATGACCTTACCTACCCTTTTAGTTGTTGAATGAACATTGCTAATGGTACAAACATTGCAATATTTATTTATATAATTGAATAGCTGATTAAAATGCGAGTTTAACGAATTTTGAATTTTAAAAATGAATAATTACAAGAGCAACAAACACAAATATAACCAAAACCCTCTCCACTTATTATTCATCTATTTATTTCTTTTTGTTTTTTTTTTATTGCAAAAAACTTTTACATGTTATTAATGATATTTAATCTAAGACAAATAAATAATTTTTATCCGAAGGTGTACGCGGCTACCTGCGCACTCAGCGTCGCCGGTGAAAGAGACACGCACAGCCGCGGTACACATGTTCGCCATGCATTTCGGATTTCACGTTAATTTCTTTTTCATAAACTTTTATAAGCGTTTTTGTTCCCATAATTTGTTGCGCTTAGAGTCACTTAACACTTTCTAGAAATTCACCTCAATTTTTCAAAAATTTTTAAACGCATATTGGGTGGTCTTAAAATTATTTAAAAATTCTGAAAAAATGTAGAGTGATTCCTAATGTAAATAGCTATCGATTGAATCAACTGGAACTATGAAAATAAAAAACCTCACTTTTCTGAACAGGCCTAATATACATATATATAACATTTATATACATATCTATACACACACACATATATATATATAAAATGTATATATATACACACGACATATAAATTAATATTGTCAAGAAAATTATAATTATAGCATATTTAGAATAATAGAAAGAGACGCTAAAAATAAGAGGAGAGGGGGAAGAGGGATGCACCACGCAAGACGCCGGCTAGGGACGCAGCGGACAAAACTTTCTCTTTTTGTCCGCTCTCTCCGCTTTCCGCTCCCATGTAAGAGCACCCTTAGAGCGCGCGCGGGACTTTTATCAGTCATCTCCCTGCCTGCTGAAAATAAAAAGAGAGAGAGAGAGAGAGTGAAAAATGATGCATTCGCGCGACAATCCGTTTCAATCGAACTACTGGTATCGGCCTCGCGACCAATTTTCCATTACTTTTTCGTCCTTTCGCATTGTTTCCACCCTTCTCTTTTATCTTCCTTTTCCTTTTCGTTCATTTTTGGACTTTAGCCCAGCTCCATGCGCGCACGCGTTGGCCAATCTCGACGTTCGCTCGATTCTCCCCGATAGGATGGCGAAAGTTCGCGCTGTCCTATCAAATTACTAAAATTGCGCGAGTTTTGCGCGCGAAAAATTCAAAAGTGCGCGGGGCAACTGCTCCCCCGGTCGCTTATCCGACGGAGCGTCGAACGACTCTCCGAAAATGAAAAAAAATGACAGCGACAGCGGCAGCAGTATCGCCAATGATTCATTTACCGCGACAATACTGAATCGAACTACGGATATAAAAAAAAATAAAAGGATAAATGCACTATAGAATTCAATGCGCTTCGGTTGAGTTCCCTTTCAAAAGGCTTTTTCCCGACGACCATTCTCTCATTACTCCAACAGCGTTATCAATCATGATGGGAATTACATCCAGCCGGTATCCCCGCTAAAAGCCAAGCCGCGAGCAATCTCTTCTTTTTTCATTTCGCGATGGCGAAAAAAAAAACAAAAAACCAAAAGCACAAACACATATTAATCAATCAAGAAAAGAAGCGCAAACATTTCCACTTTTCGATCGATGCGCGCCCGCGAGGATTTGATGGATAACATTCGTCGTCGCGCCGCGGCAATCACATTAACAAACGAATTCGGACGCGCGCTACTTGTCGCGCGCAGCTCCTCGCCGCTCTTCTTTGGTGCGTCGAACAGTCACGGCCAAAATTCGACGTGCGCATACATGTATAAATATATATACATAGTTTTATTAATTTACGTAACAGCGTTGTTTTGTAATTTCCTCGTTTTCGTGCGAAAAAAAACACGTATACGTCTACCAGCTCGCGGGTATATCCGTTATTTGATTATCGTTGTTATTCGCTCTTGACGCTCGAGTCACTATGCTTTTTACGATTATTGAGATAATATCAGTGTATCCTTCGGCCGGCAGCGCCGAAGCGAAAAGCCGGCGCGCGCTGCGGTCTCTTTTCCGTGGCGAAGTTTCGGCTCGAGAGTAGGTGTGGAGCTTTGACGTTGTCGGTGTGCGGCTGCGAGTCGTCGTGGCACAAAGTTGACCAAAATCAGCCGGTCGCAGCGGCAGCGGCAGCAGTAGTGCCAGTGCCAAACTACCTCGAATTCAATTGCGCGACAATGAGTACGGCAATCAGCAAATTGGAAATCCTCTGACAATGCTCCGCGCTGTTCTCAGACGTCACTGCAACATACACGGTAACGGCATTTCGTGAGCGCACACCTACTACACAGCCGTGATTATTGGCCCAGCGCACACGCGCGCGCGTAAGCTTCATTAGTCAATGGCCGGACTCTAATTGAAAATTTTTTTTGCCAACCCCTCGGCGCACGGCTTGGAAATGCCCTCTACGATCGCGGCGTGCTGCCGGCCTCGTCAAGCTTTTATGCATGTGTGCGCGTGGGAGAGGGGAGACTCGGGTCTAATTAAAATTCTTCTCGATCGCTTTCAGCGGCGACAGACAGAAGGAGAGAATTCATTAGTACAATATGAATGTGGATCGTTGCGGCAGGCTATATGTCCGTTCTGACAGTAACCTTTGAGCTTTTTCTATAAAAGACCAAAGAGAACGGGGTGGGGGGGGGGGGGGGGGGGACTGGTAGGAAAAAAGGAGAAAAGCGAGGCTTGAATCCGTTTCTGACTGATGCTCGGGAAATGCGACTCGAAGATAGAATTCGCCGAGGATCGAAATTACAGTTACTCGGCAGCAGCGCCAGCGAGTTCCTCTTTGTCCCTCTCAATTACTTTCCAAACGACGAGGGGGAGGGGAAAAAACCTTCCTTCGTCGACGACGAGGAAAGAAACATAAAAAAACGGAAAAAAAATAGGAGAAGGAGGACGAACACGCGACTCATATACGAAAGTTCGGCGAACGGGGGAAGGGACAAGGCTGATATCAGCCGCGGGAAGCGCACGTCGATAAGCGAGCGCCAGACGCGATCTCCGCGGCGCGCAAGTTCGGAGTGCAAGTTTCGGTCGCGCACCTCGTCGCCGCCAAGTACTTTACGCGTTTTCCGGATAATCAGCGATGCAGAGGGTCTCGCCGCGCTGCTCCCCCGTTTAACGGCCGCAAGTTGCGGGCACGCTCCCCCTCCCCCAGCAGCTCCCCGTCGTTATAAATATCTAATAGAAACTTTGCATTGTGCTCGATACATGTGCGGCGACGGCGGCGGCAGCGGCGATTTGGCAAAGCTCCCCGCTCGCAGCCACGAGATCAATGAAGCATATCCCGCGGAATATTGATGAGGCTGGCTGGCAATTTCGCGCGTACGTAGAGCGCGCGCAACGCATTGATTTTCGCGTCGGCGTTATTGCGGCAATTAATTGCGGAGCGCGCCGGATAACGCGCGATCGCGGCCGCGATAAATAAGCGCGAAGTCGCCGGCGCCACCGGGGACGAGCGTCGCTCGACGAGCCGCGGCAGAAGCTCTCTCTCTCTCTCTCACCTCTCTCGGGCCGTGGCTCGCGCAAGCTCGTGCCGAGCCTGAGCTCGCTCGTCTGCTCGTAGATGCCATCGATTTTGGCGGTGCAGCGCAGGTTCAGCTGGCCGTTAATATAGTGGAACGGCTGCAAGTGAAGCCTCAGCTCGCTCGACTGCCGGCCCTGCTGTTGTAGCTGCTGCTGATGCTCCGGGATGCCGTTGTAGTCGTGCTTCTTATCCTGCTGCCTGCTCTCGTCCTCCACCTGTAAATCACGTCGGACAAAGAGAAGCCGATCAGCTGTGCGCGCAACGGCTGCGGCGGCTCTCTTTTTTCCCTTTGCCGCTCTCCGCCGCGACGGCCGAATGCAAATTCCTCCGCTCAAAGATTACTCGGGGCTCCAGCTACTCGTCGTCGTCCCGCCGAGATATATAATGCATAACTTACAGCTACTGTTCCGAGCTTTCCAAAGATCTCCCGGCAAAAGTTGATAAAGCGACGAGAGGCAGAGAAACGAGACGAGAGAGTTATGGCGCGGCTATATACGTATAGACCGGGCGCCCCCCGGTCCCGGTCGCCCAATGTAAATCTCTGCGCTTTTAACGATATTCATTGCCGATGAAAGATACAAAAACTCGATTTTACGATCAAAAGGGTCGACTTCGTGCCTTTGTTCTCGCCGCCCGTAATCGCCATTCGCAATAAAGCGATTTCCTTAGCGCGTGCGCGCGACGACGACGACGACGACGACGACGACGACGACGACGACGACGAGCTGAAAGAGCCCCGGCGAAAGAAAGAAACGCGAGCGGACGGAGAGGGAGAGGGGTAAGAGAAGAATCGCCTCGTTGTCCCCGTGTAACTGC